CACACAGGATACAAATATCTTTCTAACCTCGTCTTCTCGGTCCGTACTGTAAGTTACGGATCCTCGTTTTTCCCCCGTCGATTTATGGCCCGCGTGCTCTTGATTAGTCATTTGACCAAGTTTGATGCTTTTAGGATGAACAGAGACCAAGTTATAGACTTTGAACCATGTTTCAAGGTCTTTTAGTTGGTCTCTGCTTACCCTCAAAAAGCATCAAACTTGGTCAAATGACTAATCAAGCGCACGCGGAGACGAAAATGACTAATCATTCTCGTCCCCATTGCCTTTTTCGCTTCTCTTAGCCGGGGGGCGAAAAGGGCTATTTGACGAGAATGACGTTGTCAGTATATCGATTGGTTAAAATTTGAAACTCGCCCCAGTTCCCTGCGCAATTTCGGAATGGCCTATTTATTGCCTGTCTGAGTGTCTTGCATTGCACAAGCGTCATGCATCAGTTAGGTTAATTCCTCTCTTGGATATTTCGTATAGCGTTTGTCATCCATTTTTGTCGTCGATCTTATCAACAATTTTCACCTTCAGTCGATCAAGGTACAGTCTGTAGTTCAATTAATGTCTTTTAAAGATAAATTAGCAGAAAATTTCATTTTCGTTTGAGGTAATGCGATAATTTTTCTTGTTTACAGCACGGGCTTCTACAGCCCGTTTGCGATCGCCGGATTCTGTCGACGTTATTGCAACAATCTGTTCAAGGTATGTTATTAAATGGGTTCTCTCTTCTTATTTGTATCTGACTACTTTAACGAAGTTTAGTGAAAATTAGTTTTATAACCACCATCAAACAGCGTAATCATCTAGAGATCTTCTGTCAGTTCAGAGTTTGCTTTCCACATTGCCACGATTAAACATTGCGACTTCGCCAGTTTGTGCATTTACGTCGAAAAGATCGTAACGCTGACAATGAAAACTCAGAAAATGTTTAGCTCAACAAGATAGGCCGCTCGGCGTAAGGAAAGCTTTCGATCTCACTTAATTTTTTCGACATTTTCGCCTTCGTTGTCGTTTTCGCTTACCGAAGCACTTTCAGTTTCGTTGAGATGCATATGATTAGCGGATATAACGAGCACTGAGTGCTGCGTTCTCATATTCAAAGCTTGGCATTAGGCTCGGCACTCTTTTATATTCAACTTTTTACGCATTTCGCAACAGTCAGGGTAAGAACAAGTATTGTGTTATTGACCATTGAGGATGAACAAGAGATTGTATGCTTATTCAAGCGTAGGAAATAAACAGAGAGTTTTATTTAAAGCTCTTAGGAAGCTTAAAACCGCGCGGATTTAACATAAAGTTTAACTACAAGTGCCTCTAACCCCCCAAAATGTTTTTTACTAAAGATATCTTCGTATGGAGTCACGAAAAATGCCGCAAAAGCGAGATTTGCGGCGTCATTCCAGACATTCTCTACTTCCGCATAACCATAATCCTTTGCGCCTTGGGGGGTTACCGAATGTAAACAAAATGGCGTCGCGAACTGTCAAGGACGAGGCGAGTTTAAGACTTCCAAAAATCTTCAAGAATATTTCAAATTTGACTAAACCATAAATAAAGCAAATATGTAACATCTTATCTATGGATTTCGAGGAGTCAATCGGGAAAAAAATGCTCTCGTCAACATTGTATGCAGTGCTTTGAAAATTTCAACGTCTGGACACTCGCAAGACTCTTCAAGTTCCTACACCAATGTACCTTCGCTTGTAGAAGTTAAAAGACTGGCAGAAAGTCTAGATGGCGTCCGTCTGGTGATGGAAGAATCCGTAGTGACAGAGTTTTAATCGGAGCTGGAGCTACAATCAGCAAGCAGTTAGAAAATATAAAACGCTTCGTGTTTGGGAGCACATTAGCAAGCTACGGGAATTCACCCAGTAAAGTAAGTCTATAATTCTTCTGATATTTTATTTATAAAAGTCTGCATATTAATTTATGATTTTTTTGATTTTAGAATTCATCTGCTACGAAATCACAAATATGTTTGGGATGTCAGAGGGAGCTATAATCCTTCGTTCTGGACAGACAATGAGGAAATCAAAGTCATGTACTTGGTGCTCGAAACTTCCACTTACATGCACTGTTGGGTATGCTATAATAATTATTTCAAAGATAACGTCTTAACATAGCCATGGAATTGCTTAGTTCTTTAACTAATAGCTTGTTAAATTTTGTTTTTTAGTTTGAGAGGGGATTGCAGCCATAATGGAGCATTGATGTTTGTACTCTGTGATATTGATGGTGAGGGAAAGTAGCAATTACCATCAGATCCAAAGTGTACTGATTTGCTATGTTCTTGGTGAGACCCTAAAGGTAATTTAAAAAAAAATATATTAACTGGAAAATACACAGTATGCATTATTTAAGGACCCATATGTTTTGCATGTCTACAAGGTGCAAAGGTCGAACCAGTCCTGGTGGGTTCGCGCATGATGTTGGTGTACAGTTGCATAGCAAAAACGGTCTCACACTAGCTTTCTTATTATTTCTCGTTATTCTTAAAGCCAGTGGTCGTAAAACTTCGCAGAATTAAACTTCCATCTATGTGCACCCCAAAAAGTGAAATTTTCTGTCTGAAAAAGATTTATAAGAAGAACAATAACCAAATTCCGAAAACAGGACAGGCAAAAAGTACTGTTTTTCCCCATTTTTTGACCCAAACATAAAGTGCATTATTATAAGTTTTAAATTCTTAGTGTAAACAATTCAATTCAAGAAGGTATTTCCAAAGTGCACCTAAATTTTGCTTTAAAGTGGTGGGACTCTTTCATTTGTGGTTGTATTTGTCAAAAAAATATGTTTAAAAAACTAGCGTGAGACCACGTTTTTAATTTCAAAACTTTGTCATTTTATCGCGCCTTTGTTTACACGTTTTAAGCACTTATTTCCTTTTTTGCCTTTTGCGTGGATTTTCCATTTTGCCAATCGTGCCTCCGGCATTGTGCATCTTTTTTTGCCTTTCAGGCCTGTGCTATTTTTACAACTTTGTTGTTTTGCTAATTTTGTCTTCTGGGCGCTTTTGCTGCTTGATCTAATGCATTTTGCTTCACTGACGAACAACACTGTAATAAAGGTTGGAGTACGCGAGCAGTGCAAAGTACTGACAAAAAGCCAAAGTGAGCATTTTGTGATACTTTTAGTGATGTTATTTTCGTAGGCAAATGCTCAGTTAAGATTGGACGTTATCCTCGCCAATCCTTCCGCAAAGTTGGCGAACAACACCGTAATAAAGGTCAACCAAGACATCAATGTTTTTGTTTTGTTTCCCTTCATGTGGAAACCGTTCAATCCCAGTCTAACTCGTCCATCCATTTCCTTATTTGGACATAACTTGGGCTTGTTGTCAATAACAAAATGGCTGCGATGAACAGGAAAATGGACAAGAAGATGCAGGGAAGATGCTTGCTTAGTGGGTGTAAAAAGAAATAAAAAAAGACAGAAGATGATTTGTTCGGTCATTTTCTCAAGATCGCCGTGCTGGACAAAAATTGGACAAACGTGTATTTAAAGTGACATCGTTTCCAAATCCTTGGTAAGCACTCTGATAGCGTAACTTACTAGCATGTGGCATTCTCATATTATAGTTTGCGTTCTGGAGAATGCCTTTCTCCATTTTTGTGATTCCATTTTTGTGATTCGAAAGAGCTCGTTTAACAATAACTTGCAATGCTCTGCCTTACGAAACCTGTAATATGGTTGAGGAAGCTTACGTTTGGAATTGAACCAACTCAGTTTGCTCAGTGGACTCGGAATAAAGGCAAAATTAGCAAAAAACCAACAGGGTGCGATTTTTTTGCTGGCGTGAAAGGCAAAAGCAAAAACCACCAAAAGGAGTAACGTGCGCGATTTTGACAAAAAGCAAAATTTGCCAAAAAGGCAAAAATGGCAAATCATGCCTGCAACGAGCACGATAAGAGTAACGTAAAATACGGCCCGATGTGTTACACTACTTGCGAAGTTTAGAATGGAGAGTATGTGTGATTTTGACTCCTTACAAGAAAGGCACAAGCGCTTTTTAGATGTAGCTAAGATGGAAGGAAACTACATGAAAATTGCTACAAGATGGTGCTCATTTGAAGAGAAAAAAATTTAATAACCTGTGAATTACAGCATTTTTAAAACAAATTTTCATCCCATTTTTGCTAATTTTGATTTGTGCACCAACATCGTGCACAAGGCCTGGTAGAGGATATAAACATCTACATCTCCAAAGCTAAGTTCAGCAAGAAACCTCCTGGCTCATAAGAAAGTGAAGCCTTCTCCAGCAGTGACAGAAGAGCATTATGGCATTGATAATCTCACCAAACTGAACATTGAGCAATATAAGATGAACTGAAAGAGAAACATTTATCTTGCAAATCAAGGCAATTCATTACCATTAATATATCAAGTAATATTCTGACAGGCTTTGTGGGGAGTTCACCCTCCAGAGGGTGGATTTTGATTTAAAAAAATGGAATGTCTGTATACTACTATGTGTAACCAGGGTTGGCTATTTATAACACTAATTGTTTTTTGTTTTGTTCAAATTGGTTTATTCAGAATAATTTATTTGTGCCTACATGTAATTTTGATTTTGATGAAAGTTAATAATATTAGTGTTTTTTTAGAATTGCAACGTGAAGAGATCGGTCAGGAGATTTGGAGAGGAGAATGGCCCAGTTTTTGGAGATCTGGGTGCAGAAGCACTTCAAAACTACAGTCGAACCTCCGGTTTCGACCACCTCTCATAAGCGACCACCTCTCCTCAGCGACCAGTTTTCCAAAATACCAGAAGTTTCCAAGTCAAATCACTATATCTGGAACCTCTAGCACGCAAGCACCTCTGGTAAGTGACCGCGACCACTTTTAGAGCTTTAAGTTTGAAGTCTTATTTTGTTTTTAACCTTCT